AACTGTTGTTTACAAGCAACTTGGGAATAAAGGTGCAGCTACAATAAACAAAACTCCCCAATAACAATGAAAATCTAAGACTGCAAGTTGAAATATAAAAGTTTCAGAAGGCTTCTTAGTTTTAATATTCAAGCTAAACTGATTCAAGTCCTGCCACCTACTAACCATGTGTTGAAGGAAAGCAGGAAGGACCGTTCCCAACGACAATCAGAAAGACTGTTCTGAGGCAAAATTTGCTGCATCTTGGCAAATCTTCCTTTACAGCAGACCTTATATAAGGGACTCAGTACCTACATAATCTGTCTTACATAAAATAACTGCTGCTTGAGGAGTAAATAGGTGTCATTTATTATATGTATAATTTTTTCAATTGTAGACATCCGCACTATGTCTATGGCTCTGGGAGAAATTTTAGGAGCCAAAGTGTCAGAGAGAGCCCGGAAGGACACCAAGCCTGAGAAAAAGAGGTAAAAACACGTAGCTTTCAGTGTTGAAATTCAAGTTAGCAGCATGTAGATTTATAGCGATGGTACAGTCTACCAGATTTCAAACAAATTTTTAAAAATAGAAAAATAATCAGGTTTAATTTTCAATCCTTTTATGTCCTACAAATTATAGTCCAAAGAAGTTCATCCCTTACCTCTGAATTTTCAAATATTAAACATTTTAATTTCATGATAAATGCTTTAATTAGCCCCTGTAACAAGAACTTAATCCTACAACACTTCAGAAAATTAAGAGATGCTTTGTTTTTCAGTTATTCTATCCAATTTTTCATTTGTTTGTTTTTCTAAATAATGCAGCTTTTCTTCTCTCGGGCTAATGTCAAAATAAATTTTTATCACTGATTGGGTTGGAAGCCTATAAGGCATAGCATCACAATACTGAACTTGAACATTTCTGAGAAACAACAACTCAAAAAGACAGAAGGGTGAAAATAAAATCTGTTTAAACTCGTTTTTTGCTTTGCCTTCCTTGATTCTCATTAGCTTGCAAAAGGAACTTGAAAATCCTTATATATCGGCACTACATATGTGACATTAGATAAAGTGGTTGACATACAATAGCTTTTCTTTGCCACAAATGGTATAGATACCAAAATATTTTTGTTCATTTGAAGCACAGTTTGCAACTGACTGCTGGCCAAGAGAGAACACATTTGGTAGCTGACTATTTTGGTCAGAACAGAGAGTAGCATCTTTTGAACTTAGTCAAAATGTTAATCCACTACAAGTACCAACTGTTTTTGACTCCTAACACATTTAGAGAAAAATCTCTAAGCCTCAGCTTCTACTTCCTGAATTTATCAACAGCAATTCCAGCTAAAAATCAGTCAAAGAACAAATTCCCCTGGACATAATGATTTTTTGGCAAAGTTGTGATACGGGAGAAATACAGCAAATGTGAATAAAAACCCACACTCAGCAATGACTGAGTCACAGATCAAACACCATACCACATTACCATTAATGGGAACAGCTGGTGAGGGAAATGGACACCTCACAAATTCATAGCAATGCAACAACAAAGGTTAGAATTAAATTTTATCAACTTTGTGTATCAACACTATGTGAGAACTGTGTCCTTAGCTCCAATCCACCCATCACTGCTTGTCTGTCACTTCCTTATTCCATATTGTAAATGCATATTAAACATCTCACATGTCAGTGAGTCCCCTTCCTGTTTTCAAAAGCACCTCTCTTCTTCCAAGCACCATTATTCTTCACAATATACTAACCAAGGAGGAAAAAACAAACTGCAAAACAGATCATGTAAAGGGGTGCAGTCACACAGCTGATTATCTTATTACTGTAAGAAACTGCAGTGGAAGGAATCCCAAGGGCAGCAATAATCCTCAGAGTTTTGGGCAACAGCAGTGTTCAGCCTAAATACCTCACGTGACTGAGGGCCTCACCATTCACATTGTGCCAGCAGGGGACTTCCTGAGATGGGACCAACCTTCCTGAAAAAATCTGAGCTTAGGATCTTCTAAAAATTCCAGAAGACATGGGCAAGAGTCAAATTTATTCTTGCAATAAAGCCTTTTAAGGAAGAAATTTAAAAAATATATAATATCCATGAGTTTCCAGCATTTACAGAGGAAAATATCAATGAATCCTCTACATAATAGTTTAAATTATTGATTCAGTCATGCAGCTCCTAAACGAAAAAGTACTCATGGTTAAAACCCTAATGTCACCTTCATGTTCGACAGGATATGTGATGGTTTGGAAGCTATTATTTCAAAACTCACATGTTGGAATTTTCTCATTGACTGCTCATACGTTTCAAAATTATTCTATAACTATCAACAGAACAAGCTAAATTAACCCTGAAGCTTGTAGCAATAAGAATTAAACTGCTCTTACTTATCTACTTATGTGCAAATAAACCTACTCATTAGAGTAACAGCTGCCATTCTGATGCACTGCACTCTGCTTTGATTAACACCTCTGCACAGATCTGTGCACTGTCTATATGTCTATGCAAACAGACACCCAGAGTTCTCCATACATTTATCCACTGATGTCAGAAGTGTGTTGGGAGGGAGGGAATAGGCTCAGGGAGCTTTCATTACTTTTCCATTTAAGCACAGATGACTTGCACAGCCTTGGGTAAGTCTCCTTGTAGCTCAGTAATCACCTTTAAAAGTGGATTAATATAATCTTCCTGTTACACAGGAATACCATAAATGCCAGACTTCACCACTCTAAAGTCATGAGTTACGAGACCAACAAGGTCAAGATGTTCATATCATCTTTGTACATAGCCGTGGATGCCTTTTTTACAAAATTATTAACAAAATAAGAATTATTTCATAAACCTAAAATCATCAGAAAAAAAACACCTCAGGAGAATCAGCAACATTTACGGTAATATAAACAAAAGTCTATTTCTCCTATGAAATCGCCTTTCATGGCCTTTCATATGAAGTCTTACCTGTGTATTCATAACTTTCAAAACAGAGCTTGAAAACACAAAACAAACCACGGAAAAAACTCCCACAAAACCCCACTAGAATATATTTTCCAAAGCTATGATTACCTGGTAATCAAATAACTTTTAACTTACCAGTAAGCAAATAACTTTTTAAATGTTCAATGTACCGTGAAAAATTTAGCTTCATAAACTTGTTCATAACATCATAATGTTCCCTGTTTTGTATGATGCATAACCTGATTTTTTTCATAGAAAAAGAAACGTTGTCTTATTTAAAAAAATATTAATTTTGAGTATCTCCAGCTACACCAAGGTGGTATTTAATACGTCTCATACATAATAAAGAATTTTTGAAACATTTCAAAAATAATTTCTCGCAGGATTGGCAAGGGTAGTGTGAAAGATTGAGATGTTAATGGCTAATGGCTCAAACAATCAGCCATTTGCAAAAGCAGCAGGTGCTTTGCTGAGGATGGGCACAGTAACAGCCCAGGTGCAGAGGGTGTGAGCACCAGGAGATGACCATGACAAATCAGCCTTTGCTCAGCAAGAAGCTGGGGTTTGAGACAGATAAGGGAAGAGGCCGAAAAGAAGCAGATCCTGTGAGGTGGATCAATACTTTTTTTCATGCTGGTGTCCTTCCTTACACAAGTGGCTCAGTTGTGAAACTCCTCTCCACCTGGGGGACATGCTGGGACATTCACACACAGGCCTGAAGACGTTCATCCCTTCTGATGGGGCATAAGGGGCTCAACTGCACTGACTGAGAGGCAGTTGTCATGCCTTAGAAAATGTCACAAACCATCAAAGACCCCAAAAATACCCCCAGAATAATTCCTGGGGTCTTCCACCAGAGGACTGAGCAGGATCCACAGCATTGCAACAGATTCAAGGTGCTGCAAAAGACAGCATAAAACTCCCCACCCTAGAGAAGGTGCCTGGGCATTCCATCTAAAGCTAAGCATATATAAACCCTCTGGAATTTGTGTTTTGTGGGTTTCTCCCACCCCTGATGGATCAAGATATCATTTAGACCAAAGGACATCAAAATTGAGTCTTGTTACTAAATCCACAGATGGTGATATCATTCTGCTCTTATCCTTTCCTTCTTTCTCCATTTCCTCTCAAAAAATTCCTGTCAATGCCTTATTAAGTGTCCTGTATCTGGATTTGTTAAGCTTGGCTAAGTTTAAGTTTGCTAAACTAAAGTTTGTGAAGTACTTACTTTGGATGTTGTTTTAACATCAGTCAAGTATCTTATTCTATCTTGATGTTCTACATTTTGCAAGTAAAAGATTGTTGTTGACTCTTCTGAGAATTTTGTTCTCTCCTACACATTTCCCAGAGTCAATTAAACCACCTCCCCCTAATCCAGGCAAGTGAACAGGAGCATGACGGGTAAAGTAAGTTTGAGACTGTCCTTCCCTTTCCTTTTAGAGAGCTATATCCATCAGGTCTTTCTACCCAGTGTGAAACATTCTCCCTAATCTCTGTATTATTTGCAGTGAGCATACAAACAATTCCTTATAATCCAGAGCAATATTCTGAAAGTTTCTTTCTTTTTTTAATGTCACTGACTTCTTTAAATGCTTACTAAACAATGCAAATTATCAAGGACTGATCTGTAAAACCCCACAATCATGTTGATTACCCAGTTTCCAAGCTAGGTCTTTCAAGAAGTTTTAGGTTTGATTTCTATCAGGTCCCTCAGTCTATTGCCAATATTAAGAGTGCTCCTTTCACTCCAGGTTTTCAGGTTTTCATGCAAGAGGAATCCAGTTCATCCATATCAAGATTGCTCCAGAATATAAACCAAAGTACAGTCAGTGGGAAAATCAGAACATTTACTGCTCTAAATTAAACAGCTAACACAAGCACACTTATCATGTAAAGTCCATAAATCAATTTTCAAATTTCAAACTACATGAGGTTTGGCATGTTCTGATTTCAGTGAGATTGTTTCAAATCCATCCACAATAAGTAAAAGAATACAGGTTTAAAAGAAGTTTATATATATCTTACACCATTTATCTATATATGCAAAAGATTCAGGAACTCACCATATCAGTATCTGACACAGGTCCAAAACTGGTCACATAGATGTTAGTGAAGACTTCAGTAATACTATCTGATATAAAAAGAAAAAAAAAAAAAAAACAAAACAAGCAAACATTTTAAATTGACAGTACTTTTTCTATTGTTATGTAAGATTATGGGACATTTTGAACAGGTTTCTCTCCTTATTTACTACCCCTTACCAGTGTCCTGTTGTAAATACTGGGGGTTTCTCTCCCACTTAACACAGAGGTTAACAAACAGGCATTTGTCCCACAGAGTAGCTTGTTTCAGCTTGTTCAGTTATACAATCACCAGCAACTACACACACATATCCTGTTTCTCTACCAGCAAAAATAACCCCAGCATCGTGGACTTAACATGGAAGGGGAGTCCTGAACACAAAATGCCTTTGTTGCATAGGTGTTACCTCTGTTGTTGCAGATCTCTCCTATTAAAGCCTTTCTAGCTGAAGGCTATTTTCTACATTCTTAATAGCTTTTTCAAAGAAAAAGACAAGAAAAGGCAGTTATTGACTGTACCAAATGTAACACAACAACATCCTACTTTTCAGTTGGGTATGTTTTTAAGTGGCACATATTTTAATATAACAGTTCCTTTCCTTGATAGGCAATGCTCATGACACATTGCTGTGGTACTGTGAACACTTTGAGAAAATGTCCTTCCCAATCATTGCAGTCAGACAGCCATGAAATCAGAATATTAGATATTGTACTGCAGGGAAAAATAACTGCTTAGTTTTCTATCTTCAGTTTTCAATTAGGCTCAAAATAGAATGATATTCACTAAGAGGGGTAGTATGCACAGGAAATTTCTTAACAGCAGTTGCCAGCCACAATCTGCATTCTAGACACACAGTCAGCATTCTAGACAGTCAACACAAGGAATTCTCTGCCTTAAAGCCAGCTGCTGATTGGAAAAGAAAAATTTGAATATAACAATTCTGCAATTTGACTCATTGCAGAATTTCCCATTCCCAAAAATAATACAACTGCCTGTTGTATAAGTGATCCTGCTGTTGTATTACGATTATACTTCCATATTTAATCATTATTAAATGTGGGTAGCTAATAGTTTCTGTTTTCCTGAAAGCTGCCTTTTAACAAATACATGATACAAGCCAATTTAACTTCTAATTATATGGAGGCCAACAGTTCAATCCCTGCTCCTCACTGGGAGAAACCAGTGGTGCTCACTCATGACAGCAGAGTCTCTACCAGGCACCAGGGAAAGGCCAGGACTGATCCATGAGCAGCTGCATGGGTAGCAGTGCATTTTCAAAGGGATGTAGATGCAAAGATACAGTGATTTCAGACAACTTCCGGACATGGACAAGGAATATTCATCTGCTCTCATCTGCAGGGAAACTTCCTTTTTCAGCCAAATGCTAGAAATATCGGACTCCAAAAAGCCCTTCCTACCAAAAAGAATCTTTTTCCCAGGATCATGTCTACTTTTTAAGCAAATAAATAAAGATTGACTCCTAAAATTCCTCTGCACGTCCTGAGATAAGTTTAGTTGTATGATAGAGACTTCTGAAATGCATTATGAAGCATCCTTATACAAGCTAAGTTGATTTCTACTCCAAACTTCTTACAAACAAATTTTAAGTCAGTGGACAGAAAAGGCGCTGAGTCTGCACAGCCCTTACTGTTCAACATAGATAAAGTAGAGGTATGGCTGAAGTATCCTACAGGAGCCACAGGTACATTTCAGAGGTATAGAGGCTTCATGCTGCCTGTAGGAGACTCTCCAGAAAAAAAAAAAGATTATTATCTCCAAATGGTTACCTGGCACAGACTAGAATGAAATAAGAGAGTGACAAGAGAGCTACTCTTCAGGAGGTAAAAAGGAGCTGCAGGGACTAATTGTGAAATTTGGCCTGTACTGATGACAATACAAAATATTAATTAAAATTCCAAGAAAAGCACTGGTGTTACAAAAATATGACTGACAATCAAGTATCCCAACAGCAGAGTATCAAGGCTAAATTCAAATATACTTGTATAACTTGAAGGAACCCTACTATAGGCAACAAAGTCACTTGGCAAATCTTTACCTGCATGCTCCCCACCCACCAAATGCTTGGAAACATGGTCCTCTTGTAAACTCACTCTAATGCTACCAGTTATATGTATGTGATTTTTTTATTTGACACAGAGGAATGGTTTTAATATTTGCATAGAATGAACTACAGGACATGGAATCTTCAAGCTTGCCTTGCATTCCAAGTTTTAATTTTTAAAAAAATTCCCATATTCTGTTATATGATTGCTAAACTCTTCTGGATCTATTTTTCCATCAGAAATGAGTAGAGAAGACAGAGAGGAGAACAAACATATTGACCACAACTTATGCTATTAGAACAGTCTATCGATCCTCCCTGTTGGTTTGTGTTAAAAAAAGTACACTAAGGAAGAAATGGCAGTTTTTTATATTTTTACCTCTTATTTTCCAAATTCTGCATAGTTAAGAAGTTTCTATTCATACCCTACCCTAAAGAAAACAAGTCCTTAAAGACAAAAGAAGCTGAAATGTAATAAATCTTGAATTACTCCTGTTACCATTTGTGTTAGCAGCCTGAATCTTGTGTTTGTTTCTTCCTTGTTACTTTACATAGTGCTAAAATAAAGGTATCTCTGAATTAAAATTTTGAACTTGAGGGTTCTGAATCAACATCTACAAAAACAAAAAATACATCATCCTTTTTTACAACAAATATTGTACCTACTGCTTTGAAGAAGTATGTACTTGTCAAACAAACAATTCAGAAGCACAAAGCATAGTTTCAAATGGGCTCTCTAATCAAAATTCATCCAGCAGGCGTCACAGTTACAGGCTTTTTATAACTCATATTCTGTCAAGAACAGCACCAGTCATCATACTTAGCCCACCAGAGATTCAAACAGTTCTGGATCATCAGTTCTTGTGGAAAAGCCAAGGAATATAGTCAGCTAAAAGATGTTCAATGCAACATGTGTTTGCATAAAAATCTAGCTTGTTTTTTTGAGAAAAGGACAAGCTTTTCCCACTGGGATTATAAAATTTGTTTCCTCAAGTGACACGTATGCATGTAACTAAAAGGCCTGATTTTCAAAAGTGCCGAAATCAATGGAGGCCCATATTGAAAAACAGTCTAGATTTTAAAGAATCCTCTGTTGGGAGGAAGAGGGGCAGATTCATTTATACTTGTGGGCTCTTAAGTTATTCTGAATCACTGCTTTTGAAAGTTATACAAAGAAATGGGAACAGCAAAGGGTAAGGATATAATTTCTATTTAGGATGCTTCTTTTAGGGGAAAAAAATCTCAGGCAAAGAATAAAACAAGTAGCTGCCACCATCACATGACATACTCTAAAACAAGTAGCTGCAAAGGCTATTACAGCACCATTTCTAACTTACTTTGGTCATAAATGTTAAAAAAATTCCCGATCTGACTTAGATCAGACCAGTTTCTCAGATGATGGAAGTCAAGGGAAAACTGACAAAATGTAGTCAATAAAATTAATGATAAAGGAAGGAAGAAAAGCACATCCCATGGAAGTAAAAAAACCCCCCAGTAATTATTAAGATCACATTGCACATGGTTCTCAAGCACTGGTTTCTTCTGATTCCCCTTCCATACTTGAACTGACATGGTATTATTACTGGGGAAAACAAAAAACAGAAAGGAAGAAAAAGCAATACATATAACAAATTGTAGAAAATTTATACATCCTTATCTGTCCTTAGCTGGAATGTTTGCTGTGTATTTTAATTACATTTAGGATTTAAAAAGAAAAAATGTTAATTACAGCAACTCCTCTATGAAGATAACAATTTTATTATCCTCAATTTTCCTTGGGAAGCTGAGGCAGAAGGATTAAGTTATGTGCAAGTAAGGTGAAGCACAGGTGTTTGCCAAGTCTGGTTACAGCTGTCCAACACTAAGTAACCACACTGGAAAATGTCAACATCATTGACTTGTCAAAAAATTAGAAAAGTGGTTCAGCACTTAGGTGGAGTTGGTATCAGTGGCATCACCAATTCCTTTATGCCAACTCTCCAGCTGTTGGGATACCCTTTCTGATGGTCTGAAATCCTGCTGACTTGTCCCTCAGCAGAAGAGCTGGCTCAGCTGAAGCAGGCTGCTTGGCAGGGAATTTGCAGTGGCTGAAGTCTAAACCAATCCAGGCTGAGTAATGGAGATGATCAGAAAAGTCAGACGAAAAGGCTCCTCAGGAGCATTTACCAGTTTGTCAAAATGCTAAGATTCCACAGGGGCATTTAAATTTTCAATGAGTTCCTTTGGTCTGCTGTCTGACAGCAGTTTTCAAAATTTTTTCGAGTTCTTTCATATGTCCCTTCTCAGTTGCCTGCATCCCTGACAGGGTACACAGAGTTCCAGTCTGTGATGGACATGCAGGATTCTGCATACCTGAGAGCTCCCCCTCTCCCGCAGAATGCTGAGAAGGCATCACATTTATTGAAATAAATTTTCAGAGTATTTCCCATATTTGAGAATGACCTGAGTATTGAGAATGACCTGAGTATTATTCATTCCCCCCCCCCCCTCACCAAAATAATCTAGATTCCTTTCTTCACAGAGGGTAGGGACAAAACATGCATGGCTCACTCTAGGTATGTTTAAAAGAAGAGAAGAAAGGAGTGTGATCACTGCAAAATCTTCAGAAAGGTTCCAGATGTTTGTTTGCATGAAACTGGCTATATTATTGATTAATGTGTCAAGGCTGTTTTCAGAAGAAAACAGGCCTGAAAGATTGGGTTGGGCTTTTTATTATTTTTAATTTCAATTTTTATTCAGTAAAGCTGTAAATACAGGTTTTGGGCAGATAAAATAGAAGACAATCTCTTTGAGGTAATCAAAAACCATCAAAAGTCTTCTTGGTGGCATAGAACTTTTAAAGTATACCTATGCAGTTCTAATGTATACTATAAAAAATATTCAGACAAACATTATTTTAAATGTAGAAATAATAGTGCCTGTGAGAACACTGCAAGGCTGTAACTGAAAGGCTGCTAAAGCATAGAAAAAAAAAAAAAGCAAAAATA